GCGTGCAGCTGGGGCCTCCCCCAGCCACACCTCCTGCACCAGGGCCTGCAGGCTGCCCAGCGGGGGCCGGCCGTTGGCTGGCGGGATGGGCTGGAGGGCCAGGACACGTGGGGCCACCTGCTGGCCAGTGTCAGGAGCGCCCTGCCCGTGGCCACTGGTGCCCTCTGTAGCCAGCAGCAGGGACTGAGACCACTCCATGAAGGCCTGCTCAGCCTGGTCGAAGGAGGACTTGTTGACCCAGACCCCCCAGGTCACATGGTGGCAGGCCACCTGGCTGCCATGGGTGCAGGAACTGCGAGGGGCCAGGGCGGGCAGTCGCGATGCCTGGGCGGCCGAGTCGGCCAGCCTCTGGCGGGAGCAGCGCTCCGCCTGGTCGAAAGGGGCTGCGTGTCTACCCACACGGGGTCGGCCGAGAGGCCCACGAGGGCCAAGTCCGCCCGGCCGAGCCAGCCCTTCGGGGAGCGCTTCCTCTTCTGTAGGGGCCTCCTGCCTTCATGGTTGTCCCTGGGGTCACTCCTGCTGCCAGGGTCAGGGCCTTCTGCCTCGCCAGCGTCCTTGGTGTCCTGGCCAGGCCCGTTCACGGCTGGCGCCTCGGCCAGGAGCTGTGGGGCCGGGGCCGCGGCGGCGGCTTGGGCGGCCTCGTGCTCGTAGAAGCGCCGCTCGGCCTCTTCATATTTGCACTTGTCCTCCCAGACGGTCTCCAGGGCGCCAGCGGCCTTCCCGCTCCTCATCTTCCAGGTGCAGCGGGAAAGGAAAGCACAAGAAGGCAGTTGCAACACCGCAGGCAGCGGCCCGGCCTCCACCCTGCCAGCAGCAGGCAGTGCAAGCCTGGGGGAGTGGCTTTGGGGGACGCTTCCCAGCGGGGGTTCCACCAGCCCACAGGCAAGGGCTCCAGCGTCCAGCCTAAGGGGCCTTTCCATAAAGCCAGAAATAAGCGTGTGGGTGAGCGGGCGGGTTTCTGCCTCTGACCACGGCCTGGCACTGCTTGCAGACCTGCCCTGGAGCCGCCTGAGGGCCACAGACCCCCAGGGTGGCCAGTCCAAGCTGGCCTTTAGTATGAGTGACAGTGGCTTTCCAGGGCAACCACATCCTGCACAAGAGGGACTGCGCGGGCCTGTCCTGTCCCCTGCCGGGGGGTTACTACACTCCCCGCCCCCCGCCCAGGGGCCAGTGCTCCCATCTAGAGAGGCACCCACAGAGGCCTCCTCATGGCATGTCACCTGTGCCCACAAAGCCACTGCCCTGTCCAGCATGGCCACAGAGGCCTTAGCAAAGGGCTGCCTGTGTGGCTCTCACCAGGGAAGGGTTGGCAGCAGAGGCAGCCTTCACCCCACCGGAGGGTAGCACCAACGGGAGACCCCAGAGAGGGGCCGGCCGTGTCAGGGAAAGGAAACCTTGGCTCCAACGGGCAGTGGTCGGCCACTCGGGCAGGGCGTCCTGGGATCCTGGGCTTTAGTACCATTCCACATAGGAAGGCCACCTCCGGAAGGGAGGGCCCCAAGCTAGGCTTGCCTGGGGCAACCTGCTGCCCCGGTGAGACCCAGGGCTGCTGGGCCTGCCAGCGCACAGAGGAGTGGTCACCCCGCGCAGTGCTCAGGGCCCTGGGTCGGAAGAG